TGGTCTCTGGTGAGGACAATTTTAACCTGTTCACCCCAAGCATCTCTTGCTGCTCACACTCTGGACAGGGTTAAGGAGCTCTTTGCTTCATTTTGGGCTGATGTGGAAGCAGCCAATGTTACTGGTTCTTCAAAAACTTGCTCAGAATAAAATATGGTCCCTGTAAAAATTAGTTACAAACCAAGGATCCACAGTTATACTCCAAGAAGAAAAATAGGTGTCTGAAAAATAGCTTGTGAGGTTGAAAAAATCCTGCCTGCCATGGGATGGAGGACAGTTAGCATATCAAAGGAAGACTTGATTTGCCTCAGGGTTGGCTCAGACATGCAAATACATATTTATACTTAGATGATTGTGTCCAGTTCTGGGCACTGTGTCCAGTTCTGGGCACCACAGTTCAAGAAGGACACTGACAAACTGGAACGTGTCCAGAGGAGGGCAACCAAAATGGTCAAAGGCCTGGAAACGATGCCTTATGAGGAACGGCTAAGGGAGCTGGGCATGTTTAGCCTGGAGAAGAGGAGGTTAAGGGGTGATATGATAGCCATGTTCAAATATATAAAAGGATGTCACATAGAGGAGGGAGAAAGGTTGTTTTCTGCTGCTCCAGAGAAGCGGACACGGAGCAATGGATCCAAACTACAAGAAAGAAGATTCCACCTAAACATTAGGAAGAACTTCCTGACAGTAAGAGCTGTTCGACAGTGGAATTTGCTGCCAAGGAGTGTGGTGGAGTCTCCTTCTTTGGAGGTCTTTAAGCAGAGGCTTGACAACCATATGTCAGGAGTGCTCTGATGGTGTTTCCTGCTTGGCAGGGGGTTGGACTCGATGGCCCTTGTGGTCTCTTCCAACTCTTCTATGATTCTATGATTCTATTCTATGATTGGCAACTGAATATGAGAACTGGCTGCACTGAAAAGCATTGTGTTTCACAGAATATTAAAGATATGTTGGTGTTACGTGTAAGATCAAATACTCAGAAGTGAACAATGAATGTTACAGGCATCAGTATAAAGTCAAGAAGCAAGACTCACGTAATGGCACAACCAGTAGAAATACTGTGAATTAATCCTTCAAGGAACAGCTAGTACTCAGTACCCATCTGCAATGTGCTAACCATTGTTCACCAAAGATGATGGGAGAAAAAGACATTTTCCATAAATGATGCATATATTCCCTACATTTTTTTTAAAAAAAAGAATGATACTTATCAACAGTAATCTTAGTTTTAACTGATGGGCTTTCAATGCTACTCTTGGGAAAACTTTGCACAATCCTGGATAATTATCTCACACAGCTACTTAATTTTAATTGTTTCACAACACTGGCAATAATAAGTGACTACACAGTCAAAGTGATGTTAAATTAAGTCAAGAAACATTTACAAGCTTGACATAGAAAATTCACCCTGCCTTGCAGGTTTAAACCACATTCTCCAGGTTGAAGTGAAGGACTCTGGAGCAAAGGTTTCAACAAGTTTACACCTGCTAGGTATGTCAAGGTAAAGCCTGCACCGACAGTGACCAAGATTCCTATTGCTACAAAGCTAAGGAACCAGAACCATTTCCATCTATTGTTTTATTATTATTAGCCGCCCTGAGCCCGGCTTCGGCTGGGGAGGGCGGGATATAAATAAAAAAATTATTATTATTATTATTATTATTATTATTATTATTATTATTATTATTATCTATACTACAAGACTCAATAGTGAATATTACTAATATCACTGCTGTTTCTGCACACTTGTGTCTCTCCAAGACAAATGGCAAGGATGCTAGGATCAATGTTCCCTTAAACAAACAATAAGAAATAAATAAGTTATTTATGAAGGAAGTGCTTACCTATGATTAGAGCACAGAATGACTGACTAGTTATGGATAGGGAAGAATGGTTTTCTTTTTTTTCATGGTGGGAGATGGAGAAGTGAAAAAGACAATAGAAGGAGATGGTTTCCAACTTATTAAAGGAGGGCCAAACTGGACAAAACAGCATTCAGTGGGGAAAGGCAGGGCAACTGGTGAGGATAGGAAGGATTAAGGAAGGAATGGGAAACCTGTGGCCCACCAAATATTGTCGCATTTCAACACTCGTTACTCCAACCAGCATACCCAATATTCAGGGGCAATGGGAGGTATGTTCCAACAACATCTGCAGGACCACAGATTATCATCAAAGCCACATAAAGGAAATGCATATGAATATTTTTGTTCATTAGTCACACACTTGTACTGATTGTGAACTACACCTAGCTCCCATAGACCAAGGGCAATTAACCATGGATCAGGGAAGAGAGATGTACCCCTCAGCTTGTACAGGACCACTCACACAAAGTATTGCTTTACGGAGGGAAGATTGTGAAAAGCTTTCAAATGATACCTTATTTAGACATACGACATTGTACATACCAGTTTCCTCTCCACACATACCCATCTAGATAAGGCCACTAAAATAGTTTTAAAACCACACCTGTTTAACAATTACACACAATATCATAACTGACATGTTAACAATAACAAAAAGGAACACTACAAACGGTGACTTGAGTGGAATCTACACACATGTTAAAAACGTTATGAAAATGCTTTTTGTTAAAATCGTTTTGCTATAGCTCACAGTTGCCATCTAGCGTCACAACTGTATATTGCAATTTACAACACATTCAAAACGTTTTATCTGCAGCTGCATAGCTGAGTCCCTGAACATTCATTTCAGTTTTTCTTCATGCTTCCTGTCAGGGTATCTGAACAAGTGCATATACACCCACAGATACAGCTCCATTATTTTTTAGAAAAAACTGGCTACATATTAGGCCAACCTAGCAAATGGGTGAGGGAACAGCAGGTAAAAATTAGCCATGACCAAACAGAGTGGGAACACAGTCCAAAACGCATTTTGAAAGAGTACAAATAGAAAAATGTGCTCACATGTTTGAAACAGTATGTTATTTTGATAAAAGCAGGTTGAAGGCTCATTGAAATATACATGCAGAAGGGTTTTATTACTTCCTTGCCCATAGGAGTAGCCTTAACCGCCCAAGATACAAATACAGGAGGTGACCATTTCATGCAGGGGTTCCATTCCTGGCTCCCATGGCCCATTTTGTCTTCTCCCAAAAGGACCCACGCATCAGCGATCACATGTCAATTGGGCACACCGAAAATGGCTGCTGCCTGTACCAGACCACAAAAGTATAGGTGCTAGAGAGGAGAGGGGCAAGCACCCCAACAAGCAAGTAGCTGAATGAAGGAAAGGCACTTAGCACACACAAATGGTAACTGAATCAAACTGGGAATTAAAATAAGGCTGCAATCCAGAACATACTTGCTTGAAGGTTAACTCCATGTCTCTACACATCATTTTCCCTATATGGGCTCACATTGGTACAGTTAGTGGGAGAAATAAACTATGTGTTTCGTCATGAAGTCAGCACACATGTGCACATGTTAAGAAGGGGCAAGTGGCAGCAATGAACACAGATCTGCATGGAGCCTTTTACTTATACTTGCACAGAAGAAACATTATGTGCCAAGCAGCCGTAAGAGTTGGCGAACAGAGCAGTGGTGTTTGTTCAGTAAAATGCACGATTAATTGTGGTATTTATCAGAACTGATGGGGGGAAGGAGTTTGTAAAGCAAATCATGCATTACTATTGTTAAATGAGTAAGAGTTCAACCTTATTTTTAACTTAAGTGAGCAAAGCACTCAAGGTTTTGTAGGCTAAGTTATTTCACTGGTAAAGAGATGCAGAAGAGCAGAATGTATTAATGCAGACATTAAAATAAAATCTGGCTGGTTCAACCATGATTTACTGCTAGGAGAGTTGGGCTTGTGCACACACTGATACACAGGGTATTTTGTGGTAAACTATAGCTTGCCTGCAAACCAGTCTGAACTGGCTTGCAGGCAAACAAATGTTTATGCAAACCATGGTTTGTCAATTCAGAAGTCACGGGAAACTATGGTCATATCTGTTAAAGGAAAATCAGAGTGTGTGAAAGGAAGAGGAGAGGAGAGTGTGCGTGGATATCTATTTGTGTGTGCTGGGAAGCTGCACCCAAACACAGCTTCTTCATGTAAGAACAAATAGTAAAACAAGACAGGTGAGAGATCATCACACACTTGATAATGTCTATGTGATTTGCATCCATTTTCTGCCTGGAAATTCTATTTATGTAAGAAACACTTTACATCTGAAGTGTCCATTAAGCTACAGTATTTGCATGCTCTCTCAATTGCTCTCCTCTCATGCAGCAGCACCATCTAGTGCTAAGCACAACATAGTGCATTTTTAATCAATTCTCAGACGCAAATGAATAATGGTTTTGATTAAAAAACACCACTTGGGAACCCAAAATCATGACACTCAAGTAACTCTCAGTTGAAAATGAACTTGGCATACACAAATAATACAGTAATATGGCTGAATTCACAGAAAGACTTCCACAATTAAATAAATACACTTTAAGCTCTTTAGATCCTCTATATTTACACCGATAGTTATTGTAAAGAATGAACAGGAATGTGCTTTTTCATCTGAGCGTCTAAGAAGACATCCCCAAATTAGTGAATGAGTTCATGACAAGCATGTAAACTTACCTCAACTCCTTTTGTGACACCTGGAAGTACCTTAATCCACAAATAACAGAAAGAAGAATGGCTATTACTGTCACTAGGTAGGGCTGCTAAATCACTGAAAGGCGGCACTTGTGTCTCCCCTCCTTCCACTATTCTATCACTCCCTTCACCCAATCCCTTTTTTCACCTCCTGAAAGGCAAAATCAGAGTCTTGCTTGCTACAGCAGATAAGGAATGAGGGTGGGCAAAAAGCACAGTGGCTGCATACTGTATCTGGGCTGAAGAGCTTTTTAAATAAAGAGGCACCACCTGCAGGCAGAGGGCTAGAAACACTAGCTGCAAAATACAAGCAAATGAAAGTCATAACCACCCAAGCGCTTCAGACTACTTTAAATCTTTTAAACATTTACTAAACACCTTACCTGTTTGTTGGGGTATTAAAGCTAAAAGAGAGCAGTTGATTCCAGAAATGGGTCATTCTCAGAGATTCTCTCTCGTCCTGACAATTTTTTTAAGTATTCGTTTTCTGGAAGCTCATTGACGCTGCTGCTACTTGCTCCCATTTTTTTTTTATTTGGTCTGCACTTTAAGATTTCATGTCACTGAAGGAAAACCTACAAAGAGATTGGGGGGGGAAATAAAATGCACTAATTGCACACTTCTTTTTTGTAAAGAATACACAAAATAATCTGACAGAGAAATCAAATACTAATTACATGCCACCCCACCCACAAAACTGGAGAATTAAACCAGACCAAAAGTTACTGATTTTAATAAAGTGAAATGAAGGATCAGAAAATGCAAGTGTTCTGGAACTGTAATAATCTGATATTGTACGGAGATAGTGCTACAGAAAATAAGCTAGTTTTGCTGAATCTTTTTAATGATGTCCAAAACAAAAAACTGAACCCATATAGGCAACTTTTTATGGAAGGCCTTCTCCATTTCAAAAGAGGTTTGCAGTGCAAGGGCTGCTACCAAGAAGCACAATCCTAAAGCCCACTTGAACATGCTGAACTTTGAATCCTTGTCTCCAGCTGCAAGCGTACACAATCCTATTACCTGAAACTAAGTCCTATTGAACTTAGCAGGACACATTTCTAAGAAGACCTGCATAGGACTTCACTCTTATTGAATGAAACAAAGATGCAAGAGGACCACATTATGTTCAGAAATGGAACATGCCAAATATACTTAGCATTATGTCGACAGAAATCAATGTGCTGCCTTTTCACCATCAGTGTTGCAGGAGTTCTGTAGCATTTGAATATCATGAAAGTGTCTGTGTGCCAAAAGACCTACTTACCTTTAGAATTTCTGATTGTCTTGCTGAGCAAATCTCATGTTCCCTTTAGAATAGGGCACAACAGCCGCTACAAAATGAAAGATATAGAAAATACAAAGTTATTCAAGCAGCAGTGACAAGATTTCCTATTTTGCTCACTCATATGGCATATTTACACATAGAGAATCAGTCCTCATGGAACACACCTCATCCAGTAAGTTACTAGGAAGTTAATTAGTAACCCTTTCTTACTCACTAATGCATCCTGTTTCATGGCAATTTAATAACTAATGCAAACATCACCATCAAGCCACTGTTATGCAGGTGTCATAGAACTTTCTCTCAGTGTTAGGAAGGCACACTAGAAGATCTGGAAGTTATTAGAGGCAATATTTAATTCCCTACCCCATATTACCCTCTACTTTCTTATATTTCACTACTTACTTATATTTCACTGTCTAAAGTTGCAGTCCCTTACGCTGTGCCCATTGGTGCCAGAATATCCCCAGACAATTGTGCCGCTGCTGCGTTTTTGTTCTGTTTTTTAATCCTGGCAAGGCTTGCTTCAAAATAAAGTACAGTGGTACCTCACAAGTCGAACGGAATCCGTTCTGGAAGTCCGTTCGGCTTCCAAAACGTTCAGAAGCTGGGCAAGTTGTGTCGGACGTTTGGCTTCCAAAGAACGTTCGCACTCACTTCCGGGTTTGTGGCATTCGGGAGCCAGAACATTCGACTCACAAGGCGTTCAGGATCCAAGGTACGACTGTACTTGCCAGCAGCTGCCGACCATCTTTATTTTCCCAGAATGTGAACCCAGAAGGTCAAATTGTTACATTTATTATATAAAGCCCTTAATAGCTTGGTGGCGCTGTGGGTAAAAGCCTCAGTGCCTAGGGCTTGCCGATTGAAAGGTCGGCGGTTCGAATCCCCGCGGCGGGGTGCGCTCCCGTTGCTCGGTCCCAGCGCCTGCCAACCTAGCAGTTCGAAAGCACCCCTGGGTGCAAGTAGATAAATAGGGACCGCTTACCAGCGGGAAGGTAAACGGCGTTCCGTGTGCTGCGCTGGCTCGCCAGATGCAGCTTTGTCACGTTGGCCACGTGACCCGGAAGTGTCTCCGGACAGCGCTGGCCCCCGGCCGCTTGAGTGAGATGGGCGCACAACCCCAGAGTCTGTCAAGACTGGCCCGTACGGGCAGGGGTACCTTTACCTTTACCTAATAGCTTGGAACCAGGTTATTTGTGGGATCATCTTGCCCAATATATGCCCACACAACCACTTTGATGTACAGAACTGAAACTGTTATGGATGCCACATAATACTCATTTCACACTTGTAATAATTTGTTTTAGCATGGTAGCACTTACACTTTGGTACTCCTTGGCTACTAACACCAGGCAAGCACCTTCACTCTACTCTTTTTAGCACATCCTTAAAATATTTTTGTTCTAACAAACCCATCCAGACATACAGAAGTTATGTGTGCTTTTTTTCTTTTCAGCAATTCTTGATTTTAATCGCCTTTCAAAAAAACCCGAAATTTTGTTTTTAACTGTGAGCCAGAGGGCCATCAAGTCTTTGTTAAACTGCTTAGCTGGGGGGTAGGAAGTCTCTGCAGGTAATTTCAGCTGGAGCAATATATTGCCAGCTCAAAACGTCTGAAACCGGTCTCACGATCTGGACGCCACACAAGTTTATGACAATTTACCAATATATTGTCAAGGTCTAGAAATAGGTAATCAAGCCAGGAGGTCTAAGCTCAGTGCTCCAGCCACATGGCTTTTACAAGCCTCTCTCACATCCCTATAGCAATAGTTTAGGAACTTTTACCACTCTGGAACTAAGCTACCTTTTACTGTCTGTGCAACTTTTGTAACTGATATATGGAAAGACACGTGAAACTAACTACTGGCTTGCCAACAGTACATGTGAAAACAATCTAGGGATATTAATAGACCACAAGCTTAACATTGGTCAATAGAGTGGTGCAGCTAACGCTAACGCTATTCTAGGCTGCATCAACAGAAAGTGTTCAGGTCAATGAAGTCATAGTACCACTCTAGTCTGCCTTGGTCGCACCACACCTAGAATACTGTTTCCAGTTCTGTACACCACAATTTAAGAAGGATATTGACAAACTGGAACATATGCAGAGGAGGGCAGCGAAGATGATTTAGGGTTTGGAAACTAAGCCTTATAAGGAATGGTTGAAGGAGCTGGGTATGTTTAGCCTAGAAAATAAATATCTTCAAATATCTAAAGGACTGTCCCATGGAAGAGGACGCAAGCTTGTTTTCTCCTGCTCAGGAAGCTTCAAGTTACAAGAAAGGAGATTCCATCAGGAATAACTTTCTGAAGGCAAGAGCTATTTGACAGTGGAACAGACTTCTTCAGACAGTGGTGGACTTTCCTTCATTGGAGGTTTTTTAGCAAAGACTGGATGCATTCCTGCATTGCAAGGGTTGGACTAGATGATCCTCAGGGTTTGTAAGTAAACCTATCAAACATGTGGTCTTTTCCTTTGCTGGGGGAAGAGGGAAAGTCTGGAAGGAACTTTTAAAGGGAGAAATTGTGAAACTCACTTAGAAGGTTTTACAGCCTCTATTTCCACACTTTAACTTGCTGCTTATTTTGTGATTTTAAATCTCTGCTGGAGTTCTCTCAATAAATAGTACTTGCCCGTAACTTGGATCTTGGCATGCAGGAATTTTCTTCTTTTTATATTTTTTCTTGAAACAACACTTCAAGAATTGTTAAGTCTATACAAACATTACATCCAAAAATTGCTATACTGGCTGCTGAGTAGCTACGATTGATGGCATTTGGGGTTCAAATGCTGGCAGAAATTGAACTTAACACTGATTTCCTAGTGGAGAAGCACACTTTCTGGATGCAATACCACTGAGACTCTAGAGTTTGGAAAATAAGAAAACTACATTTATTACAGAAAATACATGTTTGATAGAACTAGGATCTTTCCTATCTAGCATATGCAAAAAGCCATGCTTGCTGTTTCATTTCAAGTATGTCTGTTCTGCAGAGAAGCATGGAGGAAGAAGGAGGGAAGGGAGGAAGGGAGGAAGGGAGGTCAGCTCAGCAACCCTAAGAACCAGTCTAACACTGAAGGAAGTTCAATGGTTCAACAAGTCAGCACCAGGATAGTGTAGGAAACTTGGTGGCCCCTCTCTATCTACCCTTCTCATGCAGTTACAGCAGCCTACAGCATAAGTGGAGTTGAAACGGACATTTCCAACACTAACTGCAACTCTAACCTAATGTTTTGCAACACATTATTCCACAACCAAATGATTGCCTAAAGTCTGCCACAAATTACAGTTATAATGCAAGTCTTCTGCAAAGACAATGTTGCTTGGATATGGTGGCTGCCCATCCACTTCTACATTACGAAGTATATTTACAGTAATTTCAATTCCCTATCAATTCATTTGAGTTCACCCTGTCAGATGCATCACTACCTATTTTAAATTACCATGAACCAGTACCACATTTTTGCAAGTTTGCAAAGTGTAGCAGTTGTCACAGAATACTGTGGCATGATGTTAGAATACATTTTATCTGAAATTTTAATCTAGGGTGGTGTCTTTGCTGTTTTTGTTTGTTTGTTTGTTTGTTTAATGAAAATACCTAGCTTCTATGTAAAGTCTACTTGGATATTCTGAGATTTCATTATTTTGATGCTGCACTAGAATAGCAGAAATGTTCAAGCCGGATGCCTTCATTTTATGCATCTCCAATGACTGAACAACTATCCTGTTTTCCTATATCTTAGGAATTCACCTACATATACACCTTTAAATTCAGGTTTCTGCACTACTTTATGAGCTACCCTAAAAGTTAATCATTATGACACAGCAGGAAAACGTCATGAGTAGAAAGGAATCATTGCCATGTAAAACTCTTAACAATATCACTTTGACTTTCAGTCATACAAGTTAGAAAGCTGCCCATCCTATTTGCTTTCTGCTCACTGTCAGGGCATAAGCTAGGAAGACAAGTTACAACAAATGGTAAACTTCCAAATCCATAGTCAAAAATCATTAAAGTCAAACTTGAGCAAATCCACCATGACATGCCCTGTGGCTGCTACTACTTTTCCAGAATACCTATTAAATATTTTGGCACATGCACACAGACATATAATAACCCAGTTATCTGGATCCTTTTGCTTTTGACATGTTTATGACTTGACAGAAAAATACTGATCATCATGATGAGATGGATGCACAAGGAGGGAGGGTTTCTACATTGCAAGGTCTTCTCGGAAGAGGGGCACATGTACCTGTGGTATACCTATCACACAGGATCAGGCCATCCAATTTCAGGATGCAGGCAGCTTTCACCTTCCTATGAAGTTGCCTTGCATGCTCCATTTAAGTTTGTTCTATCTATTCTGACTGGTAGAGTCTCTCCTAAGACTCGTGCACAGGTCATTCCTGGCCCTGCTGAAATTCTTTCCACTGGAGATAGGACTGAAGCAAGGGACCTCTGCATACAAAGCCCATGCTCCAGCACTGAATTACGACCCTCATGCAACAGTGCCCCCACTCCCAAATGTAGTACTTTTCCTGCCTCTCCCCCATGGTGGGGAATGGGAAGAAACTAAGGGGTGCACTCAAGACACACCACTGGAGTTATGGGGCTAAACTGGCTCCAGGTCACCAACAATAAAGCCTACTCTTTAACACATAACTCAATGCTAGATTCTGCTTCTTGATAATATTACAGGGCAATCCTATACATGATTGCTCAGCAGAAAGTCCCATTGAGTTCAATGAGACTTAGAACTAATCTATACAGTACTGGTGAGTTACAGTGGAACCTCTACTCACAGACATAATCAGTTCTGGAGGTCCGTCTGTAAGTCGATCCAGGTTGCTGGTAGAAGCGCCATTGTGCGCAGGCACATTTGGTGGCAACAAGCTTCTGCGCATGTACAGACGGCGGCAGCCACTTCTGCATGTGCACGAATCGCGGCAAACCCGGCATTTACTTCTGGGTTTGCCGCGGTCGCTACTTGGATCGGGCCCAAGTAGACACGGTGGTAAGTAGAGGTTCTACTGTATAACATTA